GTGTGTGTGTGTGTGTGTGTATGTGTGTGTGTGTGTGCTTGTGTGTGTGTGTGCGTGTATGTTGTGCGCCAGATAATAAATTATTATTATTATACTCAAGTTCGGTCACTGGCTAGTTAAAACGACGAGAACCGAAAAGTACATTCAGCTGTGAACCAAAACGAGCTCCAGGCACACACTTAACAATACTACTAGTGCAGTATTATTTACCTTTCAAATTGATCGAAGATCTATGTTCGCCATATCAGGTTCATGCAAATGTGCAGGATCAACTCCTTAAAGTATACTATATTTAAATATTCACGCAATGCTGTGTGAACGCGACTATCATTAAGAGGTCTTGTACTAATGTATTTATATGAAGACTAAAAAGATAATTAACCTGCTTCTGTACGTCACTATTTTTCGCGCGGTATGTTACAATATCAATTTATAAATAAATAATATATCTCTCTCTGATAGTTCTGAATCATAAAAAATATTTTTATTTATATCCTGAATACTGTTGACCTTTTGAGCCGAGAAAGGTATTTTTGCCGAAACCCCCTCCTCGGGCCCCCGTTGTGTATTTGTTTGTTCAAAAGAACTGGATTCTAGAACTCTTGTGGAAGGCTGAAAGGGAGTAAATTCTTAAGCACAAACGCCGGTCCGTTGAATTCCCGCCGGAAAAGCCGCCGGGCAGCAAGAGCCGAGTACCGACTGCCGAGAGGGCGACCGGGCGCTACCGGATACACACCACATAGAATGTCCATTGGGCTAGAAACGGGTTTTCGGTAGTCTCTCTGATCATTGGTGTAATAGGACATACTCTTTGTAGTCCCTAACTTATTAAAATGCAAAATGACAAGCTTATTTTAATATATCCCATCACAATTCGTAGATACTCGCCATAAAATCATAAAAAATTCTAGTATGTAACTAAAATGATATTCTATTGGAATTCTCAAATTCACTCTAAATAACTGGCTCGATATGTTGAGAAAAATAAAGTAGACTGCGTCAGGACGATTCTAAACGATTAAATTTTTCGTTAAATTAAAGGCAGATGGCCGAATTGATTTGTCCAATTTTCGATATTTTTTGAAAAACTAATTAGCAGGTTTTTAGGGACGTCAGTCCATCACTGCAGTCACCCTGTCACAGTGTCAGGACAGCCGCTATTAGCTTAGGACGTCAGCCGTGATTTAGGCTGTTAAGCGTTCGGCCGGCCCGCAGCCACACAGCCGACATCGGTCATACGACAATAGTGTCGTCATTCGGTCAACTTAATTATGTACATAAACAGTACGCATGGTGAAAATGGAGGGAGGCTGAAGAGACTGGAGAGGAAAGAGGTGACTCAGATGAGGGCATATTTTTATCCGCAGGGATATAAAATTAAATAAAAGGCTTTAAAAAAGGCCCAAGAGAATTGCCGCAGAATTTTATCTGACTCATCGCTGTCATCGGACGACAGATATGAGAGGTTAAATTGTCAGAAGAGAGGGCACTCTACTCTCTCTCTCTACTAGAGTAGACAGTCTCTACTATGTAGGCGCGAGTGGCGGACTGGTGTGTCTCAGTGTCTGGCCGTGGCCGCTGGCGTCCGGACTCCGCAGGAGTCGGACATGCTGGTTGACCGCTGAGTTGCTGAGTCGCTGAATCGCTGGCTCTCTAAATAGTAATAAGGCCGCTTTTGCCAACTTCGGAAAAATATACGAAAATACTGTCTAAAAAATTATGGCTCAGTATTTTTGTATATTTCTTTTGGAATATAGGACAAAAATTTCCGGAACATTTTGAAATATAGCGTCGGTTGAATTTGAAATTATGGATGAATATTCGCTGAGTGTTTCAATTTGAACGGTTGGCAAAAGCGCGAACAAACAAGAAATTATCCGTGAGTCGTCCCAAAATAAATAAAAGGATTTTATTGGACCATCATTTCCAAACATTTCTATTGGATCCCATATATCGTTGTGAAATTTTGGCGGTCTCGAATACACGTCAGTTTGTTTGACACTATTGTAGAATATTTGTCTGTTGGTTACGTATATGTACGCACAGCAACACCATATCGCTCCGTCTGTTTATACATATCATCTTTGATAAAATGGATAACCAGATGGATCATCTCCAGCAAGTTTCAGCCGTACCGCCGCCCTTGCCCAAAAGAGATACTGCTAAGCAACACTTCGTCGACAGCGGTGTTTATAGCTCAAGTGATCACGATGTATTGAAACAAACGAAAGTATCACGTCCCTTTGATAACGAAGCTTATTCATCTCCTGCGTTGGAGATATCAAACTCGACAATAGAGAACTCTTCAACGTAAGAAGTACCAAAATTATTAAACCGCAACCATCAAGCGTAACCCAAGATATGAAGCCAGATATGAAACTAGATGTGAAACCAGATATGAATAAGAAACCAAAATGCGAGTGGACGGATGAACGAAAGGAATCTCTGTTAAAAGTGTACCATTCCACTTGCCACAAGTCTGGTATGGCAGCGAAGATAGCTCTAACCACGTCAAAAGTCTGAAATCAGCTGGGTGGAACCATGTTACCTCTCTTGTGCAAGAGGAATTTGGTTCTGATATTTACACCGTCGTTCCGATCCAGAACCAGTATCAAGGTCAAAAGAAGACGTACACGCAGTACCTGAAACACATATTAAGGGGGCATATTGAGGGCCCGAGTGGAATGGGGATGACACCTTGCCAGCAATTGTACGCCTCTGTCCGATATGATATGTATATATTTATATATATATATATATATATATATATATATATATATATATATATATATATATATATATATATATATATATATATATATATATATATAT